ACTTCAACTCCCAGAATTCCCCCCATGCTGGCTGGGGAATTCTGGGAGTTGAAGTCCACCCATCTTAAAGTGGCTGAGCTTGAGGAACCCTGAGTTATAGCATCACTCCATCACATAATAGCGATTATCTTGAGAGATATGTGTGATATGCCGAGTAGCTCATTCAGTGTGCCCGGGGGCTGGGTTGGGGCTTAAAACTCTGGGGATCCCCGTCAAAATCAAATACCTAACCATTAAGCCTCAGGGGCTCCCAAATGCTGCTTTGCATGTTTGTTTGTGATCATCCTTTTTCTTTTGCATTGCTTAGTATCAAACCGTAACATCATTGCTTCCTCTTTAATTTCTGTGCTGAATGTTGCAGGTAGTAGGAAATGCATGAGACGGAAGGCAATTTAATGTTTTCTTCTTCAGAGCACAAATTTAGGGCACTCATTCAGTACAAATGTAGGTCTCATCCTCACTTCCTGTTGGCACAGCCAAAATTGCCTCGCTAGCCATTTTTAAAGAAGATATCCTCACAATGTTGCATTCAGCTCATCACCAGTCCAGTTCAGGAGTACAGTGGCTTAAAGTTGTAATTAGCTGCTCCAGTTTTAAATAGTATTGTCCTTCTTCCAACACAAGTCATGCCATGTGAATTATCTGTGATTTCTCAATTATGGTGATATAACGGTCAGGGGCTGGGATATGCTAAAATCCTTTTTGCCTCTTTAGGTTGCTTCGGGCATCTCCCCTGCCTTGTCCTCCAGTTCTTGGGCACTGTTCTCTATGGCCATTTTGACTTGGGCTGCTTTGAGAGATGAGGCCCCTGCCTCCAGCATAATGCATCTGCCTGCATAATGCCCTAACATATAGTGATCTTTTGAAAGACACCAAATCTGTCTTTAAAAGGGGGGGAAAAAGAGTTGGATTCTATCAGTAGCATGCTCTTGTTTCCCAATGAGTACCTTATAGGCTGTCCACTGCTCCTGGCTCAAGTAGATTCATGAAGCTGTACTTTTTATAGTTATTATTACTTTGGGGTGATGATGGAGTTCTTTTGCCTACCACAGTGTCATCTAGCATACTTCCATGGACTACTCTGGATGCTGCCAGCTTGCAGCACTTACCAGTTTGGGATATATTGAAGTTGGAGTGAAATTAACAAGAATTCTGCCACTTTTTGTTGATTAGTGTGATCACAAGTGCAGTGGAGGGGGGCAGTGCATAGTAACTAAGTATGTTGACTTGTTTACAATAAATTGTGTTACAGTGAATGAGCATACATTACATTTTTCATTCATTCTATTAAAAGTTAACTGTGTTATTCATCATGGCCCAGTATTTTTATGAGAGCCATGGTTTGGAAGTTGTTCCTCTGTGATTCCATATCAGATCCCTCAGTAATGTAAAATGCAGAAGTATAATGAATGGACAGAGTTGATTCCATTTTCTCCTTGCACTTTAGTATCTTCAGGACAGCATAGAATAGAACTTTGGTAGAACAACATTGGTAGTGTTTGCTAAACATAATGTTGCATTTCTTGCAATAGTTAATTGAATGGTCCAAGCATGATTTATGTTCTAAATCAGAGACATCATAGTGCATATCATAGTTTGTTCTTATATTGACTTTTGGGGGATAATTTACACTTTATCCATAAAGGTTCTAGATGAACCAAATGACAACTACATGTTTAATTGTATTTTTTCCTTTAATTTTAGAAGATGACAAAGTCCCCAAAATGTACAGAGGATCTCTTGTGCAACTGGCACTCAACAACATGAAACTGGCAAATATTTGCATAGGGCGTCCTGTGCTGCTTACCAGTAAAAATGGCAAACAAGAGGTGGTGATTGTTTTCTTATCATTTGTGTCTGTATCTGTGTATACAAATGGGATGTTTATATACTTGCTGAATCAGTTAGAGGTAGTTCACATTTTGGTTTCTGATGTGGCATAATCTTTTCAGGAAAATTCTACGGAGAAGAATAGGGTGCCTAAGATGTATATCTTAGTCCTTTTAAGTATTACTGTTATGTGTTCAACATGTGATACAAAGTGTGTGGGGGAGCTGTTTTCTCTCCTCATCATGCTACTCTGTGTTTACATTATGATTGTATTCAGTAGGGACATCTGCATATATGTGACTGTAGATGAGATCCTATACTCTCAAGGTTCCAGTTCATATGGAAATGATTACACTTAGTGCTAGGTCTCTTTCTTAAACTATCACGCCATAAGCATGGAGACATTGCCTATGCAGCTAAGAGAGGGGTGAACTCTGACTGCTCCTTGAATATGATTTTTATTAAAATTAATAAAAATAAACAATATAACGTGGGAACACTATTAATGAGAAAGAATTCCGACACAGGAAACTTTTAACCAAATAATAAGTTTTGCAGAACTCAGGTAGATTTCACTTTTTAAATGTATTCGTATCATTCCCACTCTGCATATATACACATGGATATACATTTTGTGTCACAGGGAAGGAACTGTATCAGAGAGCATTTGAGAATGCTTTTAAAAAACTTAAAATATTTACATTATTTCCTTTTGTAGGAGTGCTTTGTGTTTTGCTCTTTTATTGGACTATATGGATATATATTTTTTCTTTCTTTACTTATTTTAAAACCATACTTGAAATCTATTTGAACAACAACAAAAATAGAACCTTGATATGCTGTATCATGATGCATATCAAGGTTCAAAATAGAACCTTGATATGCTGTATGTTTTGTAGTGCAATAGATCTCATCCTGTTATATCCCTCTTTTCTCTTCGTATCTTGCTCCTTCATCTCTTACTCTCTGAATGTTGCTTCCTTTTGCCCAGCTAGGGAAGCAGCACTGAGGCTAAGCAGTAAGTGGACAAATGTTGTTCTCACTAGAGTAATTCTGTCTCCTTTATGAGAGAGTTGTACTAGATCCAATAAAAGGCTTTGCTTTCCTGGAATTTCATAGAAAATAGTGGTTGTGATGCAGGAAGAGATAGAAGGAATAAGGAAACATGTGACATAAGATCCATAATCTTACCAAGCTAATGTCTTAATCTTGTTATTGCTGCAACTTTCCATTAAGTTGACGATAGAATCGCGATATATTTTTACCTCCATCACCCAAACAGTGAAATAGATAAGACACTTTTTCTGGATCCTTTCTCCTTCCCAGAACTAAGTGACCACGAATACAGGTGTTATTTTACTTTTCTAAGCCATTAAAATCCAAATACTGACTTGTGTTTTATTTTCTAAAAACAACAAAAATCCTACACACACCTTAAGTCAGCCTTAGAGGTGAGCAAAGTAATTGTGTGTGTGTGTGTGTGTGTGTGTTTTGTCTATGCCTGATCAGGTTTCCCTTTTTTTTAACTACTCTTCCTTTATAGCTATTAAATAAGGTAGAGGCTTGGACAGGGTACAAAACAAACCAAGAATAAGCTAGGAATCCACAAACAGACCACTACATTCCCATTCTTACATTATGCTAAGTCCCAGTTATCATCAGAAAGCCAGTACCAACTATTGCTTCAAAGTGTAACTTACTGCCCAAAGCAAGATATATTGTATATTGACTGCATGCAATATACAGACCAGTGTGCTGTTTTTCTTAAAAGTAGCTAATGGTTTTTATTTTTCTTGAAAGGGGTAACACTAGATGGATTATCTGTTGGTTATATTTGCTACTGTTTTGGCTAGGTTTGCACGGCATGGCCTGTTGGAGGCTTCCCTGGTAGAAAAATTGGCTTAAGTGCAATTACACAGAAGAATCTGAAAGTGATACCTGGTGATGTGGTCTTTGTCCAGCCTGTGACTGGTGCTGTAATTCAGGCAGAGGAAGTGGAAGTAAAGCTGGGGTATGTTGATATCCATGCATTTTACATTATTGCCCATATTCAGATTTCCAATTTATTGTGACCTGGAGTGAATTTTGTGATGAAGGAGTTTCGTGTGGTCATAATGAAAGTTTATTTTAAAGACCTAAGTTTTCCTCATTTTAAACTGTGGTACTGCATGCCAGGCGATTTGCACTGCTTCAGATTTGAGTTCTGAAAGGGATATTTGGAGCATGTGGGGGCACAGTTGTAGCACTTTAAAGCAGCTTTGTCTTTTCTTGAGATCCCATGGCAGATATGAAGAGCAGGTATATTTGTGCTATGTTCCTTCTCTCTTATGCTCGAGAATACCTTTGTGAATCAAATCTGAATTGCTGAATAGATAGATCAGCATTCATTGTTCACTTGAAACTGGATCTTCTGATTGATATTTCATTGCATTATATGTAGTGTAATTCTGTAAAGTATAATTCCCTTTGGAAAGCACAGAGCACTTTGCTCTTAGAACTGCTGTAAGGAACTGGAATGCTTCTCATTTGGAGGCATGGCTTAGATTAACTGTAATTCACTTTCTGCACCAACACAGTTATCTGCATCAGCGAGGTGAGGTTAGATGTCACTGAGTTGGTATACAAGCAGTCTTGCTGTGTAGAGAACCATGGAATGTGAGTTCAAGCACTGGTGGCATGAAAGGGTTCTTGTGCCTTAAAATATCAAGTAAAAAATAATCAGTGGCTATACTATAAACCATATGAAACAAGGACCAAGATTTATTTAACAGGAAGGCAGCAATCTGTAAAATAGTTCAGATAATTCTAGGGTTTAAGATAAATTTGTAAGTAACAAGATAGAAGGAGAGGAATCTAATGAACAAGATATGCAGTGTCCATCTCTTGAGCTTTGCCTCTGCATTTTGGATATGAAGGTGACAGGTTTCAGAGTCTCATATCTTGTAGTCTTCTGCTAGATTAACATTGCTATTTGACTATTGAAGAATGCTATCCTTTTCTCCATTTGCTTCCTGGATGGCTTTTTAAATTCTCTCATTGTGTAAATTCCCTAGATTGTTCTCTTCTTGTATCTCCTCTTTAGAACCTCCCCAGATAATGCTTCCAAAATTATCTTGAGGAGAAATTCCAGACCATTATGGTGCCTGCCTTGTGGAATCTTCTCCCCCCAGAAGTGAGATTAGCTCCATCCTTCTTAACATTCTGCAAGTCCCTCAAGACCTGGCTATGTGATCAGGCCTGGGAGTCCCAGGGGACCGGGGACATTTTACGATGGCTCCCTTATTAATTTTATCTCCTCCTATTTTGTATGTTTTTACAGTTTTTTATGTGTAATTGTTTTTATGTATTTATTTTTTTAACTGTTGCACGCCGCCCAGAGTCACCTCGTGTGAGATGGGCGGCTATATAAATATGATAGATAGACAGACAGACAGACAGATACCCAAGACGGGAAGATTATATCAAAGTAATCTGGCTGCAACAGAGGCTGTCTTGGAAAGAAAATAATCAGAAGTATATAAGTGAAACATCTATTGGTCTTATTGGGATGTCAAGGAAAGAAGAATCATCAGTATAGGAATATTGGCAAAGTTTGCATCCTTGATTTCAGATTGGCTTGACATTTACCCAGAATTGCCATTCATGTAGGTAGGTAGGTAGATAAATTTCAAGTTTAGAGCACCCCCTACTGATGTTAGTTTTGTAATTTCCGTTATACAGAGGAAGATTTTTTAGGGCTTGGATTTACAGACTCTATGCATTGGATTTGCAGAGACTGCATGCTAGCTAGTCCCTGTGAGTCCATGTGTGATGCTAGGGACCATGTAACAAATTTATGCATGGGGATTGCTGTATGACATTTCTATAACCTTTGCAGGAGGCTGATTTAGTTCTTACATTGGGGTACATTTGGTGTTCTTGAAATAAAAATAAAATTACACTTAACAGATTTTAACAAGGATTAATTAATTTATTTTTTCTTAGGGTTAAAGATGGCTGTATCAGTACTGAAGATTTGTCCATTAGCCTCTTAAGAAACTTAGGTATGGGTTTAGTTTGTTTCCTGGTTTGTATTATTGTTTTAGATCTTAAACATTTATAAACTTCTGTCTGCCCTGTAGCCAAATGTTTTGGGTTTCTGAGTTTTACAGAGATCCAGTACATTAACTCTGGATTAAGAGTATCAAGAATAGGGGAAAATACTGCATTTGGAACTTTGTAACTATCCAGTTTGAACAGGCTGGCTTTTAAAAGTATGTAGAATATTCTCTTAAGAAGAGTGCTATTCTAAAATAGGTTGTTCTGACCTCAAAGCAGACTCATGTGAATATTTTGTTAAAACTGACCTTTCTGAACATTTCTGTTGGGTTTCTTTGCTATATAGTCTAATTTTCTTAACATTCATTTATCACAGTAAATGAATTCTGGATGCTAAAAGCAAGTATAAGGGGAGGATATGATATTCCCATTTTGATTTCATTTCTTGCTTCAGGGGGCTCTTGAAGGACTGACAATTATTTTATTGTTAAAAGTTGTCAAGCCTACAGAAAGTGCATCCATTTTTTAATTTGTTTATGTATTTGAGAACTGGTGGTTAGATCGCCAGGATCATTGCTTGTGTTTTGAAAGCTATTATGTTTGTTGATATATTGCTATTATTAACAGATAATTTTATGGTGTAAGATATATGATGTATTTTAAGCAGGGACTACTTGAGAAATCTAATTAGTTTTCTTAATCTCTTTTTTTGCAGATGAAAAGATAGTATTACCAGGCAACTTCCTGCAAATTACTTTTTATGGCCGATCTTGTGACCTAAAGGTTACAAGGGTGAAAGGAATGGATGGTGTGGTGCTGAAAATGCAAGGTGTTTTAAAGACACCACAGGAATTGTCACTGGAGAATTCAGATAGCAGTCATTTCAATTTATCTATTGAACTTGGAAAACTAGTAATAACAGACAATAAAGTATCTACCAGTACTCCATGTAAGCAGGAGGATCATAGCATATCTGTGAACGATTCTTTAAATATTGTGGGGCATGAAGAATTGAGTCCGGATCCACCAGAGATTCTTGATTGTGATGTGGCTGTCGTCTCTAATCTTCATTCTGAATCAACTATATCACAAGGTGGTGAGAAAGGTTTTGCAGGTGAAGAACTACCTTTGGCTGATAAAACAGGACTATCACAGAATTGGGAAACATTTTACTTCATATCTTCAAGGACTAGGATCAGTTTCATTCAACCACAAGCCAAAGTGACAGAAGAATACGATCTTGAACCAAAAGTTACTTATGATTCAATAGGTGGACTCAATAACCAGCTAAAAACTGTAAGAGAAATGATTGAACTTCCCTTGAAGCAGCCCGACCTATTTAGGAAATATGGTAGGATATCTATGAGATATAAATCTGGTACAATTTACTATTTTTCACTTGGTAATTTTGTCAAATAATGCAAGACACAGCTTAACTGTATTTGGTTTTTTAAAACGGCAGATCATATGCTGCTTTTGATATTTTGTTTTACCTGCCCAAATGCTGTACAATGACTTAATCTTTTTTCTGTCATGTTTTGCTTAACCATAGTTTGTTGAATAAGTTGGATTGAGATAGTGCCTAAATCAGTCTTTTCCAATAGTTTTCCTGCTTTCACCTCCAAAAAGCTTCTCTTAGAGTTTGGCAGCATCTCTTCGGAGACAGTCTCCTGAATGTTTGCCAATTTGTTTCTTGTGTATAGTTGCCTGTTCAGGCTTTCTTTAAAGGTTCAGGTAGAGGGAAGGATAGCAAAATCTTTAGCTTCTCTTAGATTTTGGCAGCATCTCTTCGGAGACAGTCTCCTGAATGTTTGCCAATTTGTTTCTTGTGTATAGTTGCCTGTTCAGGCTTTCTTTAAAGGTTCAGGTAGAGGGAAGGATAGCAAAATCTTTCTATGTAAACTATCTTGTGCCCATGAAAAATCTCAGTGCTTTGTGTGAGACACTCAACCATGTTTAACTCCTGTTTCAAGGGTCCTCATTCAGAACAGAAGTGTGGCTGGTGAAATGGTGATACTTCCAAATGGAGCACACCTGAATACTTGTATCAGTTGGACAAAATGGGATAAAAGTTTTTAAAATGTAAAATAGGAGCATTGCTCCTTTTTGTCATCCTAACATACAGAAAATCATACCACCAAACTTTGTTGACTTGCTATTCTGAGGGCTACAAAAATGGGGTCTGTGGAGGTTCTGGAGTACCCACCTTTAAGCAGTTTTAAGCTTCCTTCATTTCATTCAGTTTCAGTAAACACATCGTAGCCATGCTGTCATACAGATCAGCGGGACTTAGTAATCAGTGCTGAAATACTTTGAAGTATTCCTACAAAAGTGTGTTACACAAAATTCAAGATGAACTATGTTCAAGTTAGTGTGCATATAATTATAGTTATGCAGTTCTATTTTCCAGAAAGATTTATCACTATTTTACATGGGGTTCACTCCATAATATTTGCATTTCTGATTGCAGGGCTGTTAGAATACTCTGTTATCAGCATTATTTTATTACGTTATTTATTTATTAAATTTATACAGTATGCTGCCCAACTCCCAATGATTCTCATGCAGTTTTTAAAAACTAATGAAATTTTTAAAAGTTTACAGAGAGCATCTTCTGAATTATTTTACATTAAAAGGCACAAATGTAAAGTGTGTTTAAAATGGCTATTAGTAACAAAAATTGTGCTGTTGACACACAATTCCTTAGAATACTGCCATTTTGGATGCTTCTAAAAATAATCATGACATACTCCATATATAATACAGTATTTTATCAGTAATTTGGTGTCAATATAGGGATAATTTTATTATTATCATGATTATGAACTTTTAAAAGCATACAACATTGAAGAATTAAATGCAATTTTTTTGCTGTTTACTCTATGTGTGACTGAAGGAATCCCACCTCCAAGAGGAGTGCTATTATATGGTCCTCCAGGTACAGGAAAGACATTGCTAGCCAAAGCAATTGCAAATGAGGTTGAAGCTCACTTCTCTACAATTAATGGTCCAGAAATAATAAGCAAGTAAGTCCCCTTCATTGATTAATTTCAGCCTTGCTTTATTTACTTTTCAATTTGAGGTGCACTTGTTGCTATTTTTAAAATACAGGGCCTCTTTGCTACCCAAGAGCCGCAAATAGGATACAGCTATATCTGTAAATGGAAATGAAGGATTGATTATGTATTTATAGCAAGATGTTGATACAATAATGTACCCATGTAGGGAACTGTAAGAGCAGTCAGACTTTTGTCACTGAATCGTGTTTGATTTTCTTGTAGATTTTATGGAGAAAGTGAAGCCAAGCTGCGACAGATATTTTCTGAGGCAACTTTACGGTATGGTTGTATTCTTTCAGTGAAGTTATGGTTTAACCTAGGAGTAGGTAACTTTTTAGCTCTAGGGGCACATTTGGAATCTTGTGAGCTCTCTCGTAAAATAGCTGCCAAAAGAGGCATCTTGCCTATTTAAAAACGGCTGGCATGTTCAGTCACAAAATGTTTATTCCCTGGAAGTCAGACTGCTGAGATTTCTCCCTGCCAACTCTTCTATCTCCAGAGCATGCTTTCTAGTATTTCAACATAGCTTTGTCTTTCTTCCTGGGCAGATGGAGCTTCTTCCAAAGAAAGCACTGACCTACATCCACCAACATTTCTAAAAAATGAACATGGGGCTTAGTCCAGAGGCATTATTCTAAATAAAAATGAGGCCAAAGACTGAAATTTGTTTTGCTGAATGCCAGATTCTCATTTACTACTTTTGGTTAAAATAGTATTTTTGAAAATATTAAGTCATGTGGGTCAGCATGGCTGGTGGACATCAGTGAGATATCTACAGGCCGATTGGTGCTGATAGGGATCATACTGCTTACCCTTTTTAAATATATGTAAGCCAAGATAATTGGTAGAAATTTACAAATGTCAGTCTGTCAGACTTTTCTCATAGTCACTGTATCTTGGCTTGTATTTTCACTGGGGTTACATTTTGGCTTTCATGTTTTGAAGAAGTACTGTATAAGTGATCTCGTCTCACTTCCTTTATTACTGTGATGTTTGAACAGCATGTATTCCAAATTTTAGTTTTTTATTTAGTGTTGGAATTTACATTGTTTTAAGATACCATCTAATTATCTTACTCTGTGTCATGAAATACTATTATCAGTTGAATATTTGAATTATTCAGTGAGATTATTGAGTGTCATAGCAGGTGGCAGCACCTAGCTGACTTTGGCTGATCTTGAAAAAGTTAAGCAGAGCTTGACCAGGTTAGTAATTTGATGAGAGACTACCAGGAAATCACAGGATTGTAGATGGG